GATTCCAGTAAATTTTAAATGACTCCCATTAACTTTTATTCCCTGTAGCAGACACTATTAGTTGGCCAGCACAGCACTAATTCCCAACCCCCTCCTTTGTCTTACTCCGTTACAGAAGTTAGAAAAGCTCAACAAATGCTTTGCCAGCTGCATTGCAACTAGGAGTGGTCATGAACCAGTTCCGGCCAATAAGATGTTCAGAAGTCAGTTGGGAGATTCCTGGGAGAGCTTATGCTTTGCTTATAAAGGGGCAAAGAGAGTTGTAGTTCCTTTCTCCTTCTTCCTCACTTAAAGTTGGACATGAGCCCTGGCTGATGCGGCTCAGTGGACTGCATGCCAGCCTGTGAACCAGAGCGTTGCTGTTTCGATTCCCAGTCAGGGCACATGCCTGGGTTGTGGGCCAGGTCCCCAGTAGGGGGCATGAGAGAGGCAACCACACATTGATATTTCCCTCTCTTTCTCCCTCCCTTCCCCTCTCTAAAAATAAATTTAAAAATCTTTAAAGTTACAGAAGTCATATGATGACTGGAACTTGGGCAGCTATCTTGTGACTATGAGGGAACAGCTTAGAGAATGCAGAAATACCAGCCCTTATATTGCTGAGCTTTTAAACCAATGCCACCAACCTCCAAATTTCCTGTTATGGGGAAAAAATTATACTCCTATTTGTTTAGATAACTGAGGTCAGTTTTCTGTAACTTGTAGCCAAAAGCTTTCCAAACTGATAGATTTTTGGGCTAAGAAACAGATCCAACCAAATGTCTCCTTTAAGATGTCCGCTAAGACACTGCACATCAACACAATTGGCTGTTGAAACATCTAAAGACGCCAAGTTGAATGGTCCAGCTTTGAAAGAAAAGGACGATGACCAAGTAACAGCTCATTATTATCAAGAGATTAAAAAACATAAACAGGTTTTACACCAGCCAAAATCCTATCACTTTAGACTGAAATGCAACCTTTCCCTCAGCCAGAATCCGCCTATCAGTTTAGACTGAAATACAACTTCTCCCCCCTCCCACACAACATTAAAATCAGTACCAGAGCTGGTGATTTCTCATCTGAATTGTAATTCTTTCTTGCTATTCAGAATTAACTCTCAGAAGCTAAAACTCACAGCCAACTCTGAGATCTCACAAGGTGGCAAATGAGTTGGATAAAAAGGTCTGGAGAGGAGCCATGCCTGGGGGAGGCTAGGAGGTGCCTTAGCTGTCCTGGGAGGCGACTGCCCAGTACAGCTGGCCTGAGCCAGCCCTTGGGGTGAGTGCTGTCTGCTCAGCAACTGCTTCGTTACAACAAGGGGAGACTGTTTGCAGGTGCTGAGATCACTCACTTGTGGGGGTTTTATTGCTCTCGTCAGATTAACAAACATTTTTGATTAAATCACCACTTCATTGGCTCTAAGCACACGACTTTTAATGAGGACAATATCTACTGCTACTGAGCATCAGTGCACATTCAATACTCAGACCTGCTGGGGCAACGGATGAACAAGGTGAGGAGACAGCCAGATGCCAAGCTTTTTCCAAGGCGCACAGTTACAGATCTCAAATTTTAGAATACCCAAGCAAAAAGTAACCTTAGAGATGAAGATGGCAAATGTAAACATCTATATTGGTATTGATTCATAAAAAATACATTGGCAAATGTAACCAGTATAAGGTGGTATGAGAGCTTATGTCCCACCAAATTCAAAACACTTTTAAAACCTGTGTCAGCCAAACAAAAAACTGTGATCTGTATTTGGACCATGTGAGTCTAGCCTCCGCCCCCGGTGAAGTTAAAGTCCTTCATGTTACAGATGAGGAAACTAAAGTCCAAACAAGGAGGCTGACTTAGCCATGATAAAAAAGGTTCAAAAGAACAACAAAGGACGCTAATAAGAAAGAGCACTGTTTGCTGATCATAACACCCCCAGGGCCATGTTAGGCACTTTAAATAGACTTCCTCATCTAATCCTCAAAACTACACTGTGAGGTAAGTTGCAATCTGTGTAGACTGTGGGTTGTCCACTAAAGCACACTAATCCCTTTTTCCACGCAATCAAGCTACATTTGGGCATGTGGCCTCCTAGCTGATGAATGCATTTCCCAGCCTCCCCCTGCAGTTAGTGAGACCTCGCTTCTTACCTCACATCTTTGCCAATGAAAAGTGGGCACTTTAGGCCCAAGACTCTTAAGACAGTAGGTGTGCTTCCTCCACTCTCTCTTTCCCTGCCAGTGGATACATCAATGGGGTGATGCCTGGTTTCATTCATGAGGTGCCAATAAGGTCCTAAGGGAAGGCAGAGGCACAAGATGGAAGAAATACAGCAGAAACACTATTGTCCCAGTACTCTAGACCAGGGGTTGGCAAACTATGGCCCGTGGGCCAAATATGGCCCATCATCCGTTTTGTAAATAAAGTTGTATTGGAACACAGCCACACCCATTAATTTACATACTGCCTATGGCTGCTTTTGTGCTAAGACAGCCTATCTGAGTACAGTTGATTCATGTTATTTGTGGAAATTATGTTCTATAAAGTTGCCACCAAAAATGAATTAGCAAATACTGAACCAGGTTAGGTTCCTGTGAGCCTCTGGTCACAACATTATTATCAACTGATCAATACAAAACCTTGTTTTGCATGTGTTTCTCTTTTAAAAGACCTAATATAATATATATCCTTGATTCATTAACACTGAACTCAACAGCACTATAACTCAGATCTGAACAAAGTCATACATGCACTCTCTGTGTAAGACACATGAAGCCTTCCTGCACTTGAAAAACTGGACAGCACTTCAGCACTACAATAGAGGGCCATTTTAAACAGCAAAATCCCCAGCAAAAAGCCCAATATTACAAAAAAGTGTGGCACTAAATAGACCATAAAAAGGACACTTATTTCCCATATAAGAACTAAAACAAGAAGGCAGAAAATTGCCTTGTTCAACCTTAGCGGGATATGTGAGCCTCAGATGACTCAAATTTTTTACTGCTTTGAGCCTGTCCATAAATTATTGCAAAAGCATTGAAGGTATTGATTTTGGGATTACAAATACATTTTAACAAGTAGACAAAGTCACAAATACAGACTCCATGAATAATGAGGATCAACTGTAGTTACAACAGAGCCTATATGGTCCATAAAGCCTAAATATTTACTATCTGATCCTTTACAGACTACATCTGTCCATCCCTGCTCTAGCATGTTAGAAAAAAACAAACAAAACTTTCTTGTTCTTGAAGCCACTGACTTTTGGGGTTTCTATTACAGCAGCTTATTGTGTCCTAATACAGACTATAAAGTCTACGCTCTTTCCACTACATAGTGCCTTCTCATTTTATCATCTATATGTTCTCTTTCAGAAGATTTATATTCCCATCAACTTTTTTTCCTACCAAGTAGGCTGATATTTCTCAAGGGTGTTACTTAAACCTCCTGCTGCAGCATGATGTGTGTAGCTTGTTAAAAACACAAATTCTTGCCATGGCCAGGTAGCTCAGTTGGTTAGAGCGTAGTCCCATTATGCAAAGGTTGTGGATTCAATCCTCAGTCAAGGCACATGCAAGAATCAGCCAGTGAACATGTAGATGAGCAGAAGAACAAACATGTTTCTCTTTCTCTAAATCAAAAAAATATTTGATCGATCAAAAAAAATTTTTTTTAATTATTTGGCTCTGGCTGGATAGTTCGGTTGGTTAGAGTGTCCTCCAAATATGCCAAGGTTGCAGGTTCGATACAAGTCAGGGCTCACAGAAGAATCAACCAATGAATGCATAAATAAGTGGAACAACAAGTCAGTGTATCTCTCGCTCTCAAATCAAAGAAAAAAAAAACCCCACAAGTGCTTTGTTAAAAATACACCCTCCCCACCCCCATATACACACCCAAGTCTTAATGAATTACTCCAGATTGGAGAGAATTCAACAACTCCCCATTGTAACAAGATTCTTAGTGCAGACTTAAGTTCGAGAAGCACTAAACTAGTACTAAGCTCAAGAAGACTATTACCTGTTTCTTGCAACCTCTAGGAGGTGATCTAAGGGAATTATAACACATCAGAAACAAGATGCACTAGAGCAGAGTTCTTAGGAACCGCGGCGCGAGCGCTCCTGTCGCCCGCCCCCTGCCCCATCCATCCACAGATGACCAGGGAAGCTCACCTGAGCTCCGCCTCCTGTCATCACCCCCGCCCCACCCCTTCTTCCACGAAATTGGTCCCTGGTGTCAAGAAGGCTGGAAACCGCCATACTAGAAGACAAATCACTTGGCTTGATTCTCAGCTCCTCTACTGCTTTAACCTCAGCTCTACTTGAAACCTCAGTTTCCTTATCTGTAAAAATCTCACAGGCTTATATTGAGGGTTAACTGAGAATGCAAACAAAGTAGCATATAGTCGCTGCTCAATATGCATCAATTTTCTTTCCCTTCCATATGCAGCAAAATATTTTTAAGCAGTTTGGGAACATCACCATTCCACAGTTCGCCACAAATTCCCACAGGTTCCCAAAGTAATTTTCAAGCTACAAGCTTCAGTACCTTAGAGGAAAAAATTGCCATCTCAGAGGAAGGTTAAGCCACTGCTAATACTCTAAACAATATGGGCTTTCTAATCTTTGGGGGTCTTTCATCTACAGGTCTTTACCCTCTGGGGTCCCCCTCAACCTCCGACTACCTGCCCCTTTAGGGGCCTCATTTAATGTCTCCCTTCAGGGCCTCCTTATTACCTTGTCCCGCCCCCTTTGAGGACTCCCGCTCACTTCCAAGTCTCTTCTCCTCTCGTGGTCCCCTCACCTCCGGTTCCCACCTATAGTACCTCCTCGGGCTCTCCAACCTTCGTATCCCTCCGGATACGCACACAGGGCCCCCTCACGTCCCTGGCTTCCTCTCCCAAACCCGCCTCGCCCTTGCTGCCTCCCTTAGGCCCCTCCTCCAACGTGCAGCCAGGCTGACCCACTACCCCGCCGCGGGGCTAGGCAACTAACGACGTGGCCCACTCCAACTTCTCTCACCTCTAGAGCGACGCCCAGATTCTCCCGCTTCTTTTTAGCCATATTATTTGCCCGGATCCCCCAGCCGTTATTGGACGCTCCCATTGGTGGCACCACGCATGCGCAAACAGTCGTGCTTCTCCCTTATTGGCCACAAGGCAGCAAGAGGTGGGGCTCCTGGTGGTCGAGGTTTTATTAAAGGGCGGGGGTCAGAGGGGCGCGGCCATGTTTGTAAGGGGCAGCCTCTAGTTTGAGACCTCAGCCTAGGAGCCGGGGAGACGCTAAATCACTAGATGCCGGCGGGGCGGGGCGAGGAATAATGCCCCACCCAGGAGTAGAGCTGCTTCTTTCCTTATTTATTCAAAGCCACCTTACAGCACCGAGAGACTTTTTTCCACCCCATTTTCTTCATTGCACTTATCTCTTTAGTAACCACCCTGCACACTTTGAGGCCAACCTGCACCTCCCCCACCCCACTCAAATCCTGCCCAGCCTTCAAAGCCCATCCTGAAGTACTGCTTTTGAGCCCCTTAGCCTTTGGGGATCTGATAATGAGCCTCTGTTGTTATTCCTCTTTTTTGTCTTCTGTTCTTATTCATTTTACTTGTTTTATTTTAAGAACAGCCCACAAACATCACAAAAAATCTAAAGCATCATCCTTTATTCTACCAGTCTTAACACCATTCCTGACTGTATTTCTGTGTATTACTCTCTACATTTCCTCCCCAACATATTTTATACTTTTGTCATCCTATTGTATAGTACACTGTAGACCCAGGTACTTTGAATGTTTTCACCTTGACCCCATGATAAAAGGTGTTATTCTGTATCAAGGCCCAGTTACCCGTATAACTAAAACTAAAATTTCCTGATAAACACCTTTACCATCTGTGGTGCACTCTGATATTTCCTACTCTAGCATTCTTTTTTTTTAAGTTGGTGGCAGGAGACTGACTAAGTTTATTTCATGATCCATTAATGGATTTTGAACTGCAATTTGTAAAACACTGTCATAGACATTTCCCTATGCTTTTGCAATCATCATTTGCGATGGCTGTATATGCCATCAATGAATACATCCCATTCTTGTATTGGACATTACCTCCAAATAATGGTAAAGCAAATATCTTTGCATATACTTAACTCTGTCTTTCTGAATTCTTTAAGATAAATTTGTACAAGTGGAATTATTGGGTCAAAGAATATGAGACTATAATTGAAGCCCCTTAGTTTCTGACCAGTCATCTCTCTGTTGGAGCCTGTTGTTTCTGTGTGTGAATAATGAACCTGACCCAGTGTTTGGGGAAAAAATGTTTTCAGATCCCTGTTCTCCTCTTGACAGAGTCATTGAATGATGGAGTTGGAGGAGGCCTAAGATATCACCTCTTCTGGTCGCCTGACTCAGGGCAGTAGAGGAAAAGTGGAGTAAATTCTGTCTGAACAGTAAGCAGGCTATTGAGCAGTTGTTCAGTGCAGATCTCAGCTCAACACCCAGTGCAGAAGAAACTTTTACTCAAGAACGTTGTCCAGCAACTGTCAATCAGCAACATTTATTGTTGGAACACTCCTCACAGTATTGGTCCCAATCCCAGAAAAACCAGACTTTGTGCTTCCCAATTATCACAGGCACCGGCCCAGGAGAGGTGAAAAAAGCAGAAAAAACACTGCATTCTTTTAGAAGTGGCTCCTTGTGCATTCATTTGGTGCCACGAAAAAGCCACGGAGATCTGGGTGAGTTTCATGTTGGTGCCTTGGCTTTCTCCCGTATTTCCCTATGAAGTAATGGGTGAGCTGTCACCCTTCTCCCTCAAGAGCCTCGGGTTTTCCAAACCAAACCTGTCCCCTAGTTCTCATAATGGGACCAATACTTGAAATGGGACCGGAATGAGAGCCCAACTGGGTTGTGTGAAAGGGAGACTTTTGGAATGAGACTGACCTGGATTCCAATCCCAGCTCTGCCATTTGGCAGCTATAGATTGGGGTCAAGGTACTCAAGTTAGCTGAGCCTTGGTTTCCATGTCTGTAGAACAAGCTGGTGGTGCCCGGCTTGTGGGGCTGTTGTGAAAATTACTAAGTGGTCAGTTCTGTGGCTTGTGAGTGACCAGGAGAGACTCAGGAGGACTGATGCTCCTGCTGCCAGTTTTTCATTTCTGGGTTTCGCTTAGCGACTGTTGCCATTTGTATTTGGATCATTGTTTTGATATTAGTTTCCATCAGCTCCGACACAATGGTAAAGCATGTGTTGTTAGGAGTTAGGGGCAAATACTTGGGTTGTTTCTCATTATCAAGAGTGCATAGTTCACTGCAAAAGGCAGCCCCCAAAACACACAAGTGTCTCTCCCTAGGGAGTAGATGCCCTTTCCACCTTTACCCATCCTCCCTGCTGAGACCATCAGTCATGGGTTTCATGTGCCCAGATGTTATGGACAGTGGTGACCCCTGTGGTACTGGGGAAGCTGAAAGGGCCCAGGTAAACTGCTAAGGTCCTTTCATCCCCATGGTACCTGTAAAGACCAGTTTTGATTGCCACTAGGGCTGTTTGCTGAGCCTGCTGCAGTTTGGCCTGGCTTTGTGCTGGAAATTCTGCCCACATGCAGATGGATTACTGTGGATCAGCTGTCTGTCTGTCTGTCTTTGTTCTTTAGTGAGCTGTGGTTCTGGACTTTCTATTTGAGAGTTTTAGAGCAAAGTGTTTAAGGCAAATAGAGCACTACACTGGCAGACTGGAGAGCTGGGCTTATTCCTGGGTAGGCCAGTTCTCACTGTGTGACCTTGGGCAGGTCAAGCCTCCTTTATGGCTCTCCATTTCCTTGTCTGTGAAATGGGCATAGTGGGGAGGACTAGAAATCTTAGACACCCTTGAATGCTGTTTTTAATGACTTTGTTATTTGTAAAGTGCCCAGACATAAGCACCCTTGTTGGCTATAAGGTAGACATATAAAATAAGAACCAATCCTAACCCTCAAGAACCTTTAATCTAGTTAGACAGACAGGCAGACAACCTGAAAAAGTAAATCCCAGACATCACATAATTAAATGCCGACTGTCTGATACTTACTGTCGATGAAGGAGCTCAGAGAAAAAGAGAACGCTCTGGGTGTTGCCGAGGCTATGGGTCCTGGAGGGAACCGAGATTGGCTTAGGTAAAGACGGAAAAGAGAGTGCCCCAGGCAGGAACCCGAGGGGCTTCCTGTGCTTCAGGGGCTCCCTTTTCAACAAAAGCAGTGTGTAGGCTAGCCACAACCCTGGCTGATCTGTCATGAGGACTCTTGAGTCGATTCTTCTATCCCTTGTCCCGTCCTGGGCTTGCCTGGCCTGCGGGGCCCAGGCCTGGACCTTCACAACTGCCCCAGGGGCATCTTCTCAGAGCGAGAGTGGGGAAGAGTGGAGTCATTCACTGTCAGAAACATTTCAGGGAGGAAATGAAAAATTCCATAGGTGGTTAAAAATGTAGTGGAGGCTGATTTATGTTTGAATTTTGTTCCAGGGCAGCAGATTATAGTCCAGGTTCTGAGGCAAAGTCAGTGCCTTTATGGCCTGTTTGGATCCGTTTTATGCCTTGGTGATTTTTATGTTTCAGCTTAGCCAAGATGCTGAAATTTTTTGTCCCATGTTTCACCGGGGAACTCCTGTACCACTCCTTCCCTCCACCTCACACAACCTCATTTTACCATAAAAAAAAAGAAAATAGAAGAGATGAAAGGGATGGCTTTGCTTGATATTTAATTGGTATCCAATTTTTAGCTAAATTAAATCAAATCACAAATAAATGATGAATTTACATGAGATCCTGAAGTAGATGTCAGGTAACATTATGAAAACAAAAGTACAGGAATCTAAATATTGTTGAATAAGCATATTCATAACATCTTGATATCCACAGTATCTTCTTGATGAGAAAACATATTTATTAAGTATTAGTGCCAAGATAAGCTATGTGATCTTTCCAGGCACACTGATACATTTTCACCTTATGGCTACAGCGCCTTTTGTAACAGATCATGCCTCCTACTTTTCTGTTCATGAGGAAGTTCCCATCTGAACTTGTTAAGGAATTTTGGGCGTAAGTTTCCATGTGCTAGCATTTTCCCTGGCTTTATTTTATTTTTCTATTCTTGTTTTCCCTTTGCCCTATCACTTTATTTTTATCCCACTGTCCTGTGTGCATTTTGATGAACTACCTCAAATCCTTTTCTGGGACACGCAGGAGTGTAATAAATCAGTTAAGTACATCCTGTGTTTGTAAATATGGCACTTCGTTCTTTCTAGAGCAATTTTCCCATCTGTCAGCTCTGCAGGTCCTCACACGGTTCTGTAGGGAATGTCAGGTGGGCTCAATTACTCCCCATTTTGCAGACAAGGAAGCTGAGGTATCTTCAAGTATAAAGCGCCTTATAAAAGAGGATAGACCCACCCCTCCACCTATATAGAAAACCACCTGAGCCCCTCTGGAGGAGACAAAAATATGAAACTTAACAGCTCATTAGGTGACTTTTTATTAGTAGATATGATTGACTAGGAGGAAACCAAGGCTGGGGTCACCAGTTAGAGAGGACACAAGTTGGGGTGACCACTGGCTTCACAGACTCCCCTGGAATCCATATCTGTGTTGCCATCTCTGCCCCCATCCCTCTTTTCTGATAACCGTTCTCACCGGTCATGAGTGGGTAGCATGTGATCCAAGCTGGACGGCCAATCACAGAACCACGCTCTTATTGGTTCAGAGGCCAGGACATACGATTTGAGCTGGGCCAATAAAAGTTCACTGAGATTTTAACTTTGTAGCTGGAAATGAAATCCCATCTCAGCTCTGGTTGCAAAGCTGTTGGGATGCAACCCTGGAACAGCTGGCAGCGGTGCTCCCTGCCGTGAGGAGAAGCTCCTGTGGGATGTGAGAGAAGGCAGGCAGCCTGCAAGGGCAGCAGCTTTGAGAGACGGTGAGAGAGAGTGCCCTGCAGATGTTTGGAGCTCAGGTTGCAGGTGCCTAACTTTTGCCCCTCCCAGGACGAAGGCCAATAAATCCCCTTTTTCTGAGTAAACTTGTTTGAGCTGGGGGTTTTTTCACTGATGGCCCAAAGATTTCTTAATTCAT